AAATCTGCCAAAGACCTTTTCTGCTCACAGTATCGAAAGCTTTGGTGAGGTCGACAAAGGTTACATAAAGACCTTTGTTCTGTTCCCTACACTTCTCCTGCAGTTGTCTGAGAGCAAATACCATGTCTGTGGTACTCCAGTTGGCTCTGAAGGCCAGAAGGAGGACCTGGGAAACTACAGGCCCATCAGCCTGACCTCAGTGCCTGGCAAGGTTATTGTGCAGATCATCCTAAGTGCAATCACACAGCATCTACAGGATGGACAAGGGATCAGACCCAGCCAACATGGGTTTAGGAAGGGCAGGTCCTGTCTGACCAACCTGATCTCCTTTTATGATCAGGTGACCCGCCGGGTGGATGAGGGGAAGGCTGTGGATGTGGTCTATCTGGACTTCAGCAAAACCTTTGACAGCATCTCCCATAACATTCTCCTTAAAAACCTGGCAGCTCACGGCTTGGACAGGGGCACTCTGTGCGGGGTTAGTAACTGGCTGGAGGGCCGGACCCAGAGAGTGGTGGGGAACGGTGCTGCATCCAGTTGGCGACCGGTCACTAGTGGTGTCCCCCAGGGATCAGTGTTGGGTCCAGTCCTGTTTAATATCTTTACTGATGATTTAGATGAGGGGATTGAGTCCACCATCAGTAAATTTGCAGATGACACTAAGGTGGTGGGGAGTGTTGATCTGCTGGAAGGCAGGAGGGCTCTTCAGAAGGACCTGGACAAGCTGGAGAGATGGTCTGATTCCAACAGGATGAGGTTCAACAAGGCCAAGTGCCGGGTCCTCCACTTTGGTCACAACAACCCCACGCAGCGCTACAGGCTGGGCACAGAGTGGCTGGAGAGTAACCAGGCAGAAAGGGACCTGTCGTGGGGTACCTGTCGTGAGGTCTTGGTCCGAGGGGAAAAGAAGGACACACAAGACACACTAGGATGGTGAGACAAAGAGATGTCTGCCTGCTCAGCGCAGCAGGCAGCCTTTATTGAACTTGCCAACTTCACACACAACACAAACATATTCCTACAACAACACCCAGGAATCCAAGCACCTGCACATTATCAAACCGTCTTAACCTTGTACTCCCTGCAACCCAAGGCCGTGTCCATGGAAACCATCTAACCAACTCCACTGCTCCCATGGAACACGGCCTAACTTTTGCACTACCTCAAACTTTAATTGTGGGGCTACAACTTCACCCCACAGGGACCTGGGAGTTTGGATTGACAGGAAGCTGAACATGAGCCAGCAGTGTGCCCGGGTGGCCAAGAAGGCCAATGGCATCCTGGTCTGTATCAGGAACTGTGTGGCCAACAGGTCCAGGGAAGTGATTCTTCCCCTGTACTCAGCACTGGTGAGGCCGCATCTCAAGTACTGTGTCCAGTTCTGGGTCCCTCAGTTCAGGAAGGATATTGAGGTGCTTGAGCAGGTCCAGAGAAGAGCAACGAGGTTGGTGAAGGGACTCGAGCACAAGTCCTATGAGGAGAAGCTGAGGGAGCTGGGGTTGTTTAGCCTGGAGAAGAGGAGGCTCAGGGGAGACCTCATCACTCTCTACAACTACCTGAAAGGAGGTTGTAGCCAGGTGGGGGTTGGTCTCTTCTCCCAGGCAGCGATCAGTAAGACAAGAGGGCATGGTCTTAAGCTGTCCCGGGAAGGTTTAGGTTAGATATTAGGAAGGAATTCTTTACAGAGAGGGTAATCAGGCATTGGAATGGGCTGCCCAGAGAAGTGGTGGATTGTCCATCCCTGGAGGTTTTTAAGATGAGGCTGGATGTGGCACTTAGTGCCATGGTCTAGTAACCATGGCGGTAGTGGATCAAGGGTTGGACTTGATGATCTCGGAGGTCCCTTCCAACCTGGCTGATTCTATGATTCTATGAATCACCTGCCTGTCCTCCATGTGCCTTGGCATAGCTTCTTGGAGGATCTGTTCCATGATCTTTCCAGGCACAGAGGTGAGGCTAACAGGTTGGTAGTTCCCAGGGTCCTCCTTCCTACCCTTCTTGAAGGTGGGTGCAGTGTTTCCCTTTTTCCAGTCACCAGGGACTTCACCTGACTGCCATGACTTTTCAAATATCATGGAGAGTGGCTTGGCAGCTACATCAGCCAATTCCCTCAGGACTTTGGGATGCATCTCATCAGGTCCCATGGACTTATGTACAGTCAGATTCCTTGGATGTTTACAAACCTGATCTTCACTTACAGCGGGAAGCACTTTCTTTCCCCAGTCCCTGTCTTGCAGTCCACCCACTTGAGAGGTGTGGGAAGAAAGGTTGCCAGTGAAGACTGAGGCAAAAAAGTTGTTGAGTACCTCAGCCTTCTCCTCATCTGTATTTACCAGTTTGCCAGCATTGTTTATCAGGCTTTGTTTATCTCCGCCTCATTGTAACTGGTTACACATTCCCAGTCTTTCCCCCTGAACCCAAATACTTTACTCTTAAGAAATCCTATTGTAGCTGGCTCATTTACAGGTACTTATAATATTCCATGTCCATAGGAAACACTTGGGGTCATTGTTTAGTGGTGGACTTAGCAGTGCTGGGTTAATGGTTGGACTCAATGATCTTAGAGGTCTTTTCCAACCTTAATGATTCTATGATTCTATGAAATGAAAAGAAATGGATTTGTCTGCAAAAAGAGGTATCTCTTCTTTGGATGATAGCTAAAAAGAACTGCCCATGTGTATTTTCATTATACTGCATGAGAATGCTCCTAAGGATTTAGAAAACTAATTTATCTCCTTGATGGCTATCATGGTTTAACCCCAACTAGCAGCCAAGCCCCATGCAGCCGCTTGCTCACACTCCCCCCCCAACAGGATTGGGGAGAGATTAGGAAGGGTAAAAGCTAGAAAACTTGCGGGTTGAGATAAAGACAGTTTAATAGGGAAAGCAAAAGCTGCATACACAAACAAAGCAAAATAAGAAATTAATTCACTGCTTCCCATGGGCAGGCAGGTGTTCAGCCATCTCCATGAGAGCAGGGCCCCATCATGTGTAATGGTTACTTGGGAAGACAAGTGCCATTACTCCAAGCCTCCCCTCCTCCTTCTTCCCCCCCAGCTTTACATACTGAACATGATGTCATGTGGTCTGGAATATCCCTTTGGTCAGTTTGGGTCACCTGTCCTGACTGTGTCTCCTCCCAGCTTCCCATGTACCCCCAGTCTCCTCACCACTGTGGCAGTACAGAAAGCAGAAAAGGCCTTGGCTCTGTGTAAGCCCTGCTCAGCAATAACAAAAACATCTCTGTATTGTCAACCTTGTGCTCAGCACAAATCCAAAACACAGCCCCATACCAGCCACTGTGAAAAAAATTAACTCTATCCCAGATGAAACCAGCACATTGGGAGAAAATCATGCTTACATTTGCCTAAAATAAAAAGATTGGCTTCCATAACTGATCATGAGAATTTTATATATTTCTAGTGGTTTCTTTCTGTGTGGAGACATGTTAACCTGCATATCCCTGGAGGTTAAAATCATAGTCCATAAACCCTTTGGAGGAGACAAAAAAAAAGGGGAGCAATGTGGTTGTGTTTGGACTATCTGAGGTCTAAATTGGTTGTGTTGGGAATGGCTGCAAATTGTGACCATCTGTAGTGTGCACTGAGGATGTGCATCCTGCTCATCGGGAAAAGATTCCTCACTTTTTAGGCAGATTGAGGTCTGGGACTTCATTAAGAAATGGTCATATTTTTATGAGTTTTTAGTGTCTTGGTTATTATTAATAATATTTGAAAATTATAGAAATTATACAATGGGGAATATATGGAAGCCACCTTCTCCAGCATGTGTTTCACCAGAGTGGGACTATTTTGGCTGAAATACTTCAATAATCTGAACATGTTCAAGATTATGAATAATCTGAACACGCGTAAGAAATGTTGGGGGGAAATTGGTAATATGGGATTCCCTATTTGTGATGCATTTACGTGTCCATCCTATGTGAGTCTGAGTCATCCGATTTCTTGAATGGTCTTGAATGGCAAAATCCAACCCACTTTACTTCTTCACCTTTAAAGGGTAGAGAGGGCAGCCCTCTTTCTGCGGGGAGGACATGTGAGGGCTGATGACTGTAAAGAGGTCTTGAAGGATGAGTTTAAGGTCTTTGCTTTATATGCTCTTGCTTTGGGTTGCCAGTTTTGCCAAGAGCAGCTGCACAGGAAAATTCAAGGTGCTTTGCAGTTTGCTGGAGGTTTCTCATAATTCCCACCTGATTGTACCATGATGCTTTTGCTTCTCAGAGGAAGGAACCTTCACCTTAGTGTTGGTGGAATGTGTACCAGAATAACTGTGTGAACTCATTTGCTGATGTGCATGGCAGAGGTGGCACGGTACAGGGTTCCAACGTTCCTCCACCTGTTCTTGGAGCAAAGAGAAGTCATGTCACCATGACTCTTTGAAGAAGCAGGATGACTTTCCCCATCCTTATTGGTGACAGCAGGCTCTGATAACTGCTGGTGAAGAGTATCTCCATCCTTAGAGATATTCAAAGCCATCTGGATGTGGTCTTGGGCACCTGATTGGACTAGGTGACCTTTAAAGGTCCCTTCCAACCCAAACAATTCTATGATGGTGGCCCTGCTTGAGCAAGAGGGTCGGACCAAATGAGCTTCAGAGGTCTCTTCCCACCTCAACTGTTCTGTGACTCTGAAGCTGTGTGTCTTCATGATTGGGATGTCATTGCACCCACTGGACCTTGGTGGGTCTTGGAGGTTGTGGACAGTGGGGCAGGAGGACAGGACTGGAGTCAGAGCTAAGCCTATAAATTGTCTGCTCCATGCCGTCCACAGCTTTGTGTCTCCAAGACTAAAACTGTGTCACTCCTTGCCTTTATGGTATACTTTTGCAGTGAATGTGGATTCACATGGGAGCAGAGGAGCCCACATGCACAGCTGGGACACCTCTGTGGCTGATGGTGGAAGAGGCTGTGCCAAGCTGTGTCGTGGTCTGGATAGCGCTGCATGCCTTCTGGCAAGTAACCGCCTTTCCCTCCCTCCTAGAATGACAACAAGGAGAGCTCCCTTGACATGCTGGGCATGGACATCTGGGCTGCCAACACCTTTGACTCCTTCAGGTAAGCCAGTTTTAAAGTGCTTTAAGAGACAGATGGACTGTGTCCTCTCTTAGCCTTTGTCTGCATATCCATCCTGCCAGTACCCAGGCGCCAGTGAGTACCCTGCCAGTACTCACATCACTGCTCCTCCTCCTCATCTCCATTTAGCCTGCAGCACTAAGCACAATCAATCTACTTAAATCATCCAATGTGCTTTGGAGAAGCCTCTGGATGGGTTTGCAGTCTAAACATCTGAAATTGGTACTGATACAATTACTTGTAATCATCCGAGAGCTGCACAGGCTAGACTTGAGGCGGCTCTGAGGTTTTTACTCTTCTTCCATGAATTGGAGGTGCAATCATGCATTTGCAGCTGCTGGAAAGAGCTCTTCAGCTGCTGCTTCAGTGTGGGGAAAGCAGTGAAATATGCTTTCTGTCCAGTTTTATGCATATCTCTCTCTCTGTACCTGGATGTCCTAGTTTAAAAAGACAAATGTCTGCCAAGGAAGGCGGGAACCTTCCTGGAATAGAATGAAAGCCCTCCCTTCCCTCCAAGTTTTTATAACTTTGAAATTAGTTGGCCTTCAGACAAAAAATGTAGAAAAAGATAATAACAGTTCTTTACCAAAAATATATAGAACAACAACAGAACAAGCAACAACACTGTAACCAAAACTTTCAAACAATTAAGTACACTACTTCCCCTTTTGGTGCAGTTATAATCACAAACAGCAGGGGGCACTGGTGGGCTCCAGCAGCAATGATGATAATGGTGACCACAAGCTGTGTTGGTGCCCCATCGGCACTGCTAGGCAACTCCACTGACCCCACGAAACTCCACTAACCCCACACAAAGGGAACACCCTGGCCGGGGGTGGCAGGGACTGTCCTCGGGGCTCCTCTCAGAGGCCGGAGCAACGGCTGGCAAGGGGCCAGAGCAGACTCCAACAGCAGTGCCAGGCAGGGGGAACTCCTTCTCAGGGGCTGAGTAGGAGAACAAAAGGGACCCACCACCTGGTGCTAGCAGGTTTAATATCCCTCTAACTTTTGCCCCCCCCTTCACACAATATGCCCCTCTCCCCCCAAGTCCAAACTCCTCACACAATGCTCCCTCCACACCACCCCAGACATCTTGCAGGGTAAGCCATCAGCCTTTCAATGAGCCATTAAGAACCTTGATGTTTATCTTTCCCTAACAGAAAGGCTTACCTCTCCCCCCCCCCACGACTGTGTGTATTAGTATGGAAAAAAAATTCACTAAGAAGTTTAAAACTATAACACTGGAGCACTGCAAGAGTCTGCAGGGGTTGAGTTCTGACCTGGGGCTTACTCCAGGCCATTGGAGCAGGTCATGCAGGACCAAGAGAGAACATCTCTATTGCATGGACCAGACCACTACCTGTTGCGATACCCCCTTGATACAGAGAGCAAGTATAGCTTGCAAGGTGTGTGCTGGATCATACATAAAAGCTAGGAGTTTAGATCAAGCAACAGGAGCTTGAAAAGAAAGGAGATGCAGAAGTATGAAGGTTGGAGGCCTGCATCCATGTGTTCTGCAGCAGGGAGTGTTGTCTCCAGAAATACCAGCTTTCCTTGCCTGCAGGCTCTAATATACCCTCTGCTCTTCAGCTCAGTGGTATTTAGTTAGTAGTGGACTTTCTTTCTTTGTTTTTCCCTGTTTTTCTTTCCTAGTGATGCGACATGGGACTTGCAGCCTGAAAAACTAACTTTCACCCAATTTCACAAGAAGCTGCGAAACACCTCCAAACACCTGCTGCCTCACATAGATAGAGAAGGGTGAGTGCTGTTCGTGCAATACCTGTGCTCTCCAGGAAGGTCTCTAACTTCTCCCTTCTTGTAGGAATGCTAGCTTGGTGGCATGGCTCATGTGGACAACACATGAGAGAGGTGCTGGACCACATACAGGATTTGAGGATGTAACAATCAGTCTATCTGACTCTTCTATCATCCAGTTCTGGGCTAGAGCAGAGTTGTACCATATGGTGACAGGCAGACTCACAGAACTAGATAAGGCTTTTTTTCCTGCACTGTAAATATTTACTGCAGGTATATCAACAGCAATGTTCAGAATATTTGAAACAATGTGACACTAAATTTCTAAGTCACTATGTGCCTTAGACATGTTTATTCCCATTTATACAAATGGTTTTGAAAAATGAGATGAAGGACCCTCTGTAAAATAAGATATAATATGCTCCATGGTCGATGGCACTTGCCAAGTGATCCTGCCAGTGACACCTGCTGTGATAGTCAATAAAGACAAAAAGAGATAATTTGCTTATCAAAT